AGCTACTTGGGAGGCTGAGGCAAGAGAATCGCTTAAGCCCAAGAGTTGGAGGTTGCTGTGAGCTGTGATGCCACAGTACTCTACCCAGGGCAATGGCTTGAGACTCTGTCTCAAAAAAAAGAAAATGTAATTGAATTACAAACAATAATAAAATTGGCAACAAAATATCTCCCTTGGCTGTTTGCTTCAAAAAAGTAAAAAAGCTCAAAACACTATGTGGGGTCCTTAGTCCTGTGAATGTTTTGATCAGCAGCAAAATATTACTCTTTTTCTAGCGTTGCTGGGTGTTGCAGTGTCCCAGCCTCAGTTTCTGATTTCTCCAGTTTCCGTAACTAACTACTGTACTTAAAAAGAGTTTCTTCACCTACTCATATTCCCTCAGGCCTTTCTATTTTAATCTTTTATTTTTCCACTCTTTTGGCAGACCTGCATGGGCAAGGATGTAACCCTTCACGTCTCGGCAAGCAATCCCGCTATGCTGCTGTACCAGAAATTTGGATTCAAGACTGAAGAGTATGTTTTAGATTTTTATGATAAGTATTACCCATTGGAGAGTACAGAGTGTAAACATGCATTCTTTCTGAGGCTCCGGCGCTGATGTGAGTATAGCTCCTGACCGAGAAACGCATACGCTACTAGAGAATGGGTCTCCATGGAGGCCTGCAGGCGGTGATTCATTTCATGGTGGGTTCTCATGTTCTCTGTGATTAGATGATCCTTCAAACCTCTCAACTAAGGTGAGAAAGGTGTTGGGCAGTGACATGAGCAGTGAGCAGCCCTTGAAGAAAAGCTTTAGTCCTTTCTGGGGAGGCCTCCAGCCAACATCCTGGACTCCACAGTTAACGCAGATTCAACAGTGCCACTGTGCCCTTCCACCTGGCAGATTGCAAGAGTGAAAGAGCATCTCAGCTGATGAGACAGCATCTGTCTGTCCTGACTTCAAGGATGAGAAAACGTGACAGCCATCAAAAGATTCTCACAGTCCTGAGAGGTACTGTCTGTCCTAGGATGATGAGAGATTACTAGGTGATTTCGTGAAGAGATTCTAGCCCTATTCTCAGGCATTGTGTTGTCATCTAGAAGGACTGCCAGGAAACTGAAGTTTTGTTGTCTCTTTTGCTGACTTAGATCATAGTCAGTAAAAATAAATGTTTATGTCTACGTGTTGTTTTGCCTATTTATTCTGTTAACATCTCCTGCAGGGACTTAGGCCTAGGAATGGAGGATCCCATTCTCCCATGGCCTGTGAAGTTGGTTCAGGATTTGTGCGGCTGAGGAGCCCGCCATTCAGGTTCCCTTCACCTGCCTGCTCACTCCCAGATGGTTGTGCCTCACAGTGGAGGGTTGTGTGATGCAAGTAGACCCTATTATAGACGTACCCTGTGCTATCTGCAGGGCCAGGCTGTTTGTTTGCTTGTGGGTGTTGGAGAAAGACTTTTAATCACCTTATTGTGGATTCATCAAGAATATTCCACAAATTTCAGATGTCAGATCAAAAGCTTTTCTGTAACTACCCATGGCTAGAGCTTCAGAATGTCAGTTTCCTTCTAAACCCTCTTTTTTAAAGATCAGTAGTTTTTAATGTTTTGGGATATGGATTTCTTTGAGAATCCAAAGAAAGGTGAATACTCCATAGAAAACTGTTCTGCAGTTTTGTTTGGTTTCTGGGTTTATTTTTGTTTGTTTGTTTTTTTTGAGACAGAGTTTCTCTTTGTAGTTCTTGATAGAGTGCTGTGGTGTCAGAGCTCACAGCAACCTCAGACTCTTGGGTTCAAGCAATTCTGTTGCCTCAGCCTCCTAAGTAGCTGGAACTATAGGCACTCACCATAACCTGGCTATTTTTTTTTTTAATATTTATTGTTTTGTTCTTTTATTTGCTTATTGACACAAAACAGTATATTTCTTTAAAAAGCTACAATATTCTATGACAATATATTTTTTCTGTTACTGTGAGAACAAATGAGAATGCATTAAAAAAGGGGGAAGAAAGTTTAATTAGCTCACATTATATGCCAAGAACAGGAGAAATACATGAGAGAAAAGGATGATGATAAGAATGTTAAAAAATTTAAGCCACAATGCTAAAAAAATTAAGAAAAGTTGTTATTTTTCACATGTTTATAACTCCAAGATTAATGATAAATGCAGTAAACTTTTAAGAAATGACAGTTCACAGTCATGGAGGCTCACATCTTTACGTAATCCTAGAACTCTCGGAGCTTGAGGTGGAAGGATCCCTTGAGCTCAAGAGCTCAAAACCAGCTTGAGCTTGAGTGAGACGCACCACTGCTAAAGATTCTTAAAAAAAGTAGTCTGGCATAGTGGCAGGTATGTGTAGTCCCAGATACTTGGGAGGCTGAGGCAGGAGGAGCCTGGCTATGTTTTTGTTGTAGTTGTTTAGTTGGCCTGGGCCTGGTTCGAACCTGCCAGCCGTGGTGTATGTGGCCAGCACCCTAACCACTGAACTATGGGCACTGAGCCTGTTGTGCACATTTAAAATTTTGCATCAAGGATCTGTGGCCTACAGGATAAGAGTTGCTGTTCAAGAGGCTGTGTTGGCAGCCAGCTTGAATTCCTTTGTTCTAGGGGGAACGTGCTGAGCTCCCATGTTTAAGACAGTCTGGATGTCGTTCGGTTCCGTGTGGAAACAGGTTAGTTCTCTTCTGTTTGTGTGAGGAACTTGTACCAGTAGTGTCTCATTTCTTTATTTTTCTTTCCTTATCTCTTTCCCAAGAATGTTCTGACTTTGGTTTTATTTTGCAAATGAATTGCAACTTCATGAATTAAAATTGTGGAAGCAACACTTCCAAACCTATAAACCAACTTGTGTTTTGCAAGTGAATGTGGAGCATTTGTTGTTGAAACTCTTGAGTGGTGGCCCAAGCGATTGTCTCCATAACTCTGGGAAGCTGAGGAAAGCTATGATCGCTTTAATTGACTCTTTATTTTGTATTTTTTAATTACGAAAATTTTCAATCATACACAAAATCAGAGCATGATGCAACAAAATCCCATCACCCATAGTCAACAATTATCTGCCACATTACGTCATTTATCTTTTTGTTTCTTTACTAAAGTATTTTAAAGTAAATCCCAGATTATATAATTTCATCACTACTTAGGTAGGTAATTTTATAAAAATATGGATATTTTCTTGCATAACCTCAGTGCCCATTATCACTCCTCTAACAGAAGGACATTTTGGGGACTACCTAGTAGCCATCCTGTGGTCCACCTTCTGGATCATCTCAGAAACGCCTTTTCCAGTGGGTTGTTTGCATCAGTGACCAGGTGGGGTCCCTGTGTGTAACTTACTATTCTGGCCACACAGTCTATGCCACACACAGTCTATATCTAGAGTAGTGGGCTGCTGTGTTACTCTCCTATCACCGAATGTCACAGAAACCAAATCACTTGCCGTTTGGAGTGTCCCACACTGTGGGTTGTCTCTGCTGTCCTTGTGGTGTCCTCTTTGGGATGGGACTGACTGAACAAAGTGAGAAGTGGGCTTGTCCTTGTCTCATTAGTAGGTCTGGGGGAAGCTGCCTTGGCCTGGCTCACCTTGGTCCCTTCCTGGGTGTCCAGGGGCAGGCCTGGCGGCTCTAGTCCGTGTTTCCCCTGCCTTCTTCCTCTCTGGCCCCTCCCCTGGGCTTGCAGTGTAATAAGCCCTGAACTAGTCCTCTGAAGGTGAGAGCAGTGTGGCAGAGGGGGCTAAATTGTATAAGAACCTGGTTTTGGTGGATTTATAGTCATAATATACTTAGAAATTTCAAACTTTCAAGTACCGAGAAGGGCTTGTTTTTTCATGCCACAAAAGGGGCATGAATTTTAAAAAGTTGAGGAACACTGTATTCCATTGTGTGTTCCTGAGAAGTCTAGACTGCCCCCTTGGCAGTGGCCAGTGGTAGCCAGGAGGGCTTTCAGGACCACTGTAGGAATAGGAATTTGACCAGAAGTAATAATGGAAGTAATGATTTGCCCATAGTCTTTTTCTAGGGAAGTTGAGTTCTGTTGACAGGAGGCTGTTTTAGAACTTGAACCGTAATTTTGAATTTTCTAAATGTAGTTAACATTTTATATGAAGTTTTTATCACTTAAAAGCCACATTGCCTTGGGACTTTTCCTGGAACTGTCCCCTGCAAGTGGGCTTGGGGTCTCTACCACAGCGCTAGGGAGAAACGTCCAGGTCACCCCCACACTGGTTAGGGATGTCCTTCTGCTATGTAATAGCAGGAAAGTGCATTAAAACATAATGTACCTCGGTAATGGGAATGACCACAGGGCCATATGACTCCTCATTAGGACATACTTAACTCTCATACCAGTGAGCTTCTTGGAAAATACTTGACTCTGAGAACACATTACGAGTTTTTATGAGAAATGAATTCCCAGACTTTGCAAGTGACTTCCTTCACTGTCCTCATCTGTGAAGTGGGCTTGGTCATGCCCACCTCACGGACTATAGTGATAGACCCAACAAGGGCAGGAATAGCACAAAGGGAAGTCCCTGAAGCCTGGGGGAGGGTCTGGGAGGCAGTGGTGGGAGATTAGGGCGTCTGTGTGTGCTTGGCTCAGTCTTCCCCAGTGCCCAGAACTGTGCCCAGCATAGGGCTGCTGCTCCCTGCTCCCTGGGTGAGAGAGAATGAACTGTGTGCACCAGGACCTCAGTAATGCTTCTTGCTTTTCTCATTTTCTAAATCTCATATGCATAAGCCGGGTGTGGTAGCTCATGCCAGTAATCCTAGCACTCTTGGGAGGCCAAGGAGGGTGGATTGCCTGAACTCATGAGTTTGAGACCAGCCTGAGCCAGAGCAAGACCTCATCTGTAAAGACTAGCCAGATGTTGTGGTAAGTACCTGTAGTCCCAGCTACTTGGGAGGCTGAGGCAAGAGAATTGCTTAAGCCCAAGAGTTTGCTGAGAGCTATGACACCATAGCCCTTTACTGAGGGTGAAAAGTAAGCTCTGTCTCAAAAAAAAAAAGTCACATATGCATAGACTCTGTTTATCACAAATTGTACTTCAGGCAACTCCTTCTCTCTGCCTGGATAGGTAAAGGCAGCTCTTAGCTCTTAGAATCATGTAACAGTGTATACAGGTTGGCTATGCTAGGAGAATCCCTACAAAAGTAACAAAAGTGGAATGAAATTTGGACTGTACCAGCTAAAGGAGAAGACTGATGGTTGCTCAGGTCCGATGCTGGACGGTGGCCACACCTGTGCTGTCATGGATGGACTGGCTCCAGGTAAGCCTGTGTGTGCAGAGCGTGGCTCAACCTTCCCCCGTGGCTTTGCTGCTCACGTGAAGATTCTTACTATGGGTGGCATCAGCGCATGTATCCATAGGCACTGGCCCTAGCAGGGTGATGAAGATTTACCAAGAAGCTCAGAAGATGCAACACATTCTGCTCAGCAGAGCAGGTCAGAAGCATCACCGTGTGCAGATCCCTTCAGCTCTTGGGTCAGCCAGAGTTCCGCTGGGCTTGGTCCCCACTGAGTGTGACCAGTTACATGCTGGTCAGTGTTTGACCGTGCACTGAGGGTGAGGCAGGGGGAAGAAAGAAGAGCAGTGAATCCAGCTTTAGTATGTAGTGCTTGCTGATTTCTGTGGTGTAAATACTATCACTGCGGCCAATTCCAGGCTACCAACACGATGTCACTAAACCCCTGGTTGGACATCACCTCAAGAGCACAGAGAATAGTAACACGGTAGTAAAATAATTACTGTGTGGGAGGTTTTTAAATTGTAAATTTATATAATTTAACTTTTAATAATGGCTCACAAAATCCCTGGGAATCTAACCACCAGCCCTTGCATGCACCACCACAAAGCTGGCTGGAATGGAGTCTGGCAGCTCTCCCAGGGCTCCCACAGACAGCAGACACAGGGGCAGCTTCTGTGATCACCACCCTCTGCTCACAGTGATCCCGGGCCAGGATGAAGCTGCCTGCTCAGGGCTCCTGTGCTGTCAGGATTAGCCAGTGCGTGGGTGGAGGGTAGGAAGATGAAGGAGATTTAGCAGGCCCTGGTCTCAGCCTCACACATGCATAGCAGGTCTGCAGATGCAAGGTGGCCACTCTGCCACACGTGCTCTACAGCTTAGAGCTACCCTGTTTGGATTCGTGTACCACTGA